GGTAAACATTTTTCAACAACACTGCTCTTCAGGCAAGGGATGAACACAAATATGAATAATCTTATCCAGGTAATTAGAACAAGTAAATAATTGACCGACTAATACAGTGCACTCTTGATGAAAAAAAGTATTGCTGCAACAAATCCTACGAAAGAGAAAGTGGTGATGTTAATCTATGCATACACCAAAACAGTTGTTCTTATTGCAAGTCGAATAGCTTTGAAGCAGGTGCCTGCAACGATTTATTCATCCCCACACTCAATAAAACGTCATCCCCGTAGCTGAAAATAAGTGAGCACTTCGCACTCACCAAAAAAGGAAGAAAAGCGATCGAATGTAGAATCGTCGATTAGCACAAGATCGCAGGAGCTTCTTCGCTAAAAGTTGCTATGGTTATTCGGTGACGCAGGCCTGAAACAACTTTTCCTAGGCCCAAACGCGACGTATACCTTTCGCGTCGATTCTCAGACATTCCAACTTCAAACAAAGCTAAGAGAATGCGAAAATTTAATGCTTCAACCACTCAAAGTTCTATCGATCCTCGAACAGATCCTGAATCCGAGCACCGGTACGGCGATACGGCTGATGCTGTCTCACAGTTGTTAATATCCAGATGATCCAGAGCGATCTTGCGCAAAAAGGGTATAAAGTCTCATTCCTTCATATTTTCACATTATACCTGCGTCAGCGAGCACGAAAAAGCCCGAAATCGTCGGAAAGCCGCTGCACATCACGGCTGCCGCGCACCGAACAAACTCACATCCGCCAGCGCTGGGCGCTGCCATCTTACCTGCGACGTCACGGCTCTTGTGAGGTCACGTGACGAGTGGTCCCATTTGCGTAAAACATGGCGGCAGCCGGGGGGTGCCACTTCCGAACTTCCGGTTTATCACTCTAAGCTCCTCTACCTCGTTGAGGAAAGTAGACGCCGCGCGCCCCCCGGCGTACGTTCCCCTGCTTTTGAGCGCGCCGCGCGCCTCGAAATCGCGGCGCCGCTATTCGCCGAATTCAGTCACGTGACGAGCGTAACGGAGATGACTCGCAACTTTGGCTCCCGTAGGGAGCTTATACAGGAACTCTAACCCCTCATTCACACTGGAAGCGGATCCGCGTTCGCAAAGCGGTTGGGAACGCGGTTGTATAAAGATCCAGTACAATTGCACGCGCACTTAATGTCATCAAGTGCGCGTGCAATTCGCAACCGCTTTGCGAACGCGGCACCGCTTCCAGTGTGAATGAGCGGTGAGGCGAGTCGCGCGTTGGCCCCACCAAGCGGCAACGCTCGCAAATACAGTGACAGCCTCCGTTTTTCGCGCGCTGGCTGTGCTCCTCGGGCCATTGCATTCGCCGGTAGGGGCTGTCACTGCGGGTCTCTCGGTGGCTCTCACAACCAAACTAAACCAGAACTCTGAACTAAACAATAAATAATTAGCCGCCAATTATCATCGCCACCATTATCGTCGATCTACGGAACTTGGGAACAGCGCAAAATCTGCACCCCGCCTCTTGTCGCGGAACACAGACCTTTGGCAAGAAAGACGTTGATCGACATTTAAAGGTTCATCTTTGCAAAGTGGAGGAAGACGACGACGTGCCTCGCCTTAGGAACACCAAATCTTCTGCTCCCGATCTGTGAGTCAATTTTTTGGGATCAGCGAACGTTTTCATCTTCGCGACGACGGTGGCTCCGTTAAATCTTGTACGGCAAGCCTGCACCCCACCCAGCGTGGCTATCTTCAATGACGGACGCCACGTCGGCGGCACCAACACAGCCACCCCCTATCCCACCACTCCCCAACCAATACCCAGACGCCGAGAACATTGAGGTCGACTCGCTGTCGGATCCCTCCATGGAATATCTCCAACAAGATACAAATCAAGGATGGATAACGCCTGGAAAACATCGAAAACAGCGCCTTCAGCCACGTCCACAACATGAACTTCACACCGTCGTGGTGCGAGTTCCTCACACCCTTTGCTTTGAACACATCAAACCGTATTATCTCCTATATGCCTTCACTTCAGCTGCAGCACTTCCCTCCCGAGCACGCCAGGATCTCACCATACACATTCGCTTGCTGCAAAGAGTCATTCTCCTCAAAACCGCCTATGAAAGCACGGCACAAAGACTAGCCCAAGTCTGCGACATCAGAATCAACAACAACCTTCACCATGTCACGCCCTATTTTGCTGCACCGCTCAACTCGTGCAAGGGCGTTATACATGGTGTCAAAGCTGGCCTCTCCACCGATGAATTGATGACATCATTGGAAAGCTATCAAGCCACCATCATTACCGCTAGAATGATGGGGGCGAGCGAGTCAGTCCTCATAATCTTCGAAGGCACCAGTGTCCCCTACACTGTCCTCTTCGAACGAGTCGAGTACAGGTGCCGCCCTCATCAACCAAAAGCAGCAAAATGCGAACGCTGCAGAGCCTACGGACACCGCGCAATCAATTGTTCTGAAGCGCCGACTTTCTGGCGATGCCCCACGTGTGCCACCCCTCTACAACAACAGCAGGCCCCCCATCCATGCACCCCTTGGTGTTATCATTGTGGCGGTGAGCACCCCTCTTTTGATCCAGCATGCCAAGTACAGCAACAGAAAGACAAAGCAAGCATCAAAGCAGCATATGACCAGCGACTCCATCTCCGCAACACCTTGCCGCGGGTTACGCCACGACCAACATCGTCCCACCAGTGAGATTATCATAGGCAGCGAGCGGCAGCTACGCGCACAGCACAACCCACGCCAACGGACTTGAACCAACATGCGCCCTCACCTCTACAACACTACCGGCAGCCCCAGCAAACCATACAACAACAAGCGTCGACTCCCGAGTCAACATCATTCCTTCCCCCAACGGCGGAATGGGGACGCCAATCTCCACCACCTGGTTCGCCGACACATCAAACAAGTCAGCCCACGATCAAACGGCCGCTTCTCCGACCGGCCGTTCTACCTCCTCGAGCCACGACACTCATGGAACCCTAAAAATGAGGCTCCGTCATCGTCGCTAGAGCCAGAGTTAACGCCAGCTAGCCCTTCGAGGATAGGTCCATCGTCGACGCCACCAGGTACTCTCGAACTCCCCACCACTCTCCGTCCCGCCTCTCAACCGCCCGTTACCCCTTCCACCCCCATCTCCACGTCTCCACAATATCACCAACATATGAAGGAGCGATTTAATTCGATCCAGGAACGCTTGGCCCCATGTGAACAACAGATCGCTCAACTCACCGACCGCATGATGAGCCTAGAGAACATGATATCCAACATCTTAAGCGTAGTTGACCCCCTAGTTTCCCGGATAAATGAACTTACGAATATGGTAACTTCTTTAGAAAAGACAATTGTTGCGCTTACATCACCCACGCCTATGGAAGCCGTGTCCCAATCTCTTAAAAGACCCCGACCCCCCACACCCACAGAACAAAGCGCCCCTCCCTCGCAACCACCCCCCCACACCCCCGCCCCAACCACAAGGTAATGGCCAGAGCTATTTCATTTCTGGTCATACAATGGAACTGCCGGAGCATCAAAACCAACCGCACTCCCCTTCATCAATGGCTTCTCACCCTCGATATACAACCCCAAATCTTACTTCTCCAGGAAACGCGACACCCGGCAAATATTCCAGGCTACCGAGTAGTACATGCCGACCCTAACGCGTCCCCCCTAGTGTCCACGTACATTCGGCGAGATCTCCAGTACGAACCGCTGGACGTCCCCTCGTCTCTAGCACATAATCTAGTGGCATGCGCTTATTACCCCTCCCCCCAACACAAACCGATCTGCTTTCTCAACTTTTATAACCCCCCTAAAGAGCATCGTCTATTCAAGGCCCTCTTCGACTTTACTGCGGAGTTAACATCCACATACGAGGTCCTCCTGGGTGGAGATTTCAACGCACCGAATGTCATCTCGGGCTATCGGTCTACTCTCCGCCCAGGAAGAATTTTACATTCTTACATTTCACAACACCATTTCACTCTTTTGAACAACCCCAACGTCCCGACAAGAGAGGGCACTGGTAGGCAGCAATCCACTTCTCCGGACCTTACACTGTTCCAGGGCCGAATTGAAAGCACTTGGACCCACACCCAGGAAAGACTCTTGAGCGATCATTTCATCCTCTCCATAACACTTAACATTTTCTCACGTCCTCGTAAAGTCTCCATCAAACACACCAACTGGAACACCTTCCGCAGCATCTTGGCCTCTACTAAGCGCCAGTCAGAGTCGTATGAGACCTGGATACACGCGATAAAGCAAGCTCAGACACAGGCAACCAAGCCAGAAAAAACAACAGCCCCATCACCACAGCCCGATCCTTACCTGACGCGCCTCTGGAAACGACGGAAGCGAATCCTCAGACACATAAATCAACAGCCTCTTAATCACCAACTTCGAGAACGATTAGACGATGTCAACAAGGAAATTATTACGCACTGCGACGTCTTAGATATCTCAAACTGGAACAAAATATGTAATGAAATCAACGGTTCTCTCCACCAAAAATCTTCATGGAATCTACTCCGATCCCTGCTAGGACCCCATCCTCCCCCCATACCTACCTTGGCTAAATATCTCACCCTTCAGGGCTCAAGGCAGCTGACTCAGACACTAGAGGATTTGTACATTCCTGCACCTCTTTCGTCGAACTACCCATCCTATACAGGCCCGGAGAATTCAGAATTAGACCGCTCCTTCACCTTAGCAGAGCTGGACTGGGCTTTCACACAAAACGTTAAAAAATCTGCACCCGGAGAAGATGCCATTACGTACACGCTACTCCGCAATCTCCCAGAGGAAGACAAAGAGCAGCTCCTGGCTCATATAAATACATACTGGTCGGAGTGTACCTTACCACAAGAGTGGAAATCCTCTATCATCACCATGATACCGAAACAAGGAAAACCCCCCTCTCTCACCAACCTTCGTCCCATTTCGCTTACCTCCTGTGTGGGCAAGACGATGGAAAGGATGGTGCTGGACCGTTTCCGGGACCATCTGGAAACCATCTCGTTCTTCCCCCACACACAAATTGGCTTCCGTTCTCACGTATCCACACAAGACCTCTTTCTCCTTCTTCAACACACTTTTCTTTCCCCACCATCTGCTCAAGTCCACGCCCTTGTCACTGTAGACGTTCGTAAAGCATTTGATTGCATCGGCCACGATCACATACTCGCCTCAGTCCGAGAAACAGGCTGCGGACACAGGCTTTACACTTACATCCGGAACTTCCTTAAAGACCGCACAGCCAGTTTTTGTATTGAGGCTGAGACGTCCCCACCGATCACGCTCACACGCGGCACCCCACAAGGGGCGGTGCTGTCTCCTACTCTATTTAATCTCGGCATGGCCCAGCTGGCCTATCGCCTCCAACAAGTCCCCCAACTCTCACACATCTTCTACGCGGACGACCTCACCCTCTGGTGCACTCACGGGTCACCAGGGGAAGTGGAATCGACTCTGCAGCAGGGACTGGACATTATAGCTGAATATCTTGAACAAGCAGGCCTTGAACCTGCCCCAGAAAAATCGGAACTGCTTCTTCTATCCCATACTCAATATCAGCGATCTGTTAACCAGCACATATCCTTACACATCGGTCAGCATCCCATCCCGAAAGTCTCTACATGTAAAATTCTGGGCATGCATTTACGGGAAAGATCACATCAAGCCAACGTCGTTTCAGTCGTAAACACATGCCACTCGGTTACCTCCCTGGTACGCAGAGTGGTCAAAAAGCACGCGGGTCTCCACGAGAAGCAGGCGAGTCACCTAGTTCATGCGTTAGCCCTTAGTAAAATTCTCTATTCTATACCATATGTCACACTCACACAACAACAAATCAACAAACTCTCAGCAGCATTAAACACACTATACAAGGCCTCTTTAAACCTTCCCATCTCCACCTCCAACCAAAAACTATACGAAACGGGCCTCTTTCTCCCCCTCACCTCTCTCTTGCACCTGCATCGAGATCGGCAGATAGCCCGCCTCTCAGGAACACCGCAGGGTAGATGGATCCTGGAGCAGGCAGGACTTTCCCCCATAGACCTTCCCTTACATATACCTACCCCAGCCCTACCGTTAAATCTGCGCTTCGCCCCTGTGCCTCGCCGCATGTCCCCGGGCCTCAACGACGGTCGCAGGAGGGCCCAAGCTATCCATCACAATCCCCCCTTTAAGACACACACCATAGCATATTCTGATGCATCCATCTCCAACACAGGAGATACGGGAGCTGGGGCATATGCAATCTATACACCACAATCCCCAACCGCCACAGTTCACACCTGCGGTCCATATAGCAACCCTCCAAATATCATCACACTAGAAATAATTCCCATTATACATGCTATCCAAACCTTCTCCCAACTACCTCTTACATCAGCTTATACAATCTATACGGACTCCCAGGCAGCCATACGCGCTCTGCAGCAACGCAAAATCCCACCAGATCTCAGATCGGTCCTCGATGAAGCTCTCTACGCGCACTAAACCCATCCTCTGTCACCGTTCGGTGGGTCCCTGGTCACAGCGGGATCACAGGTAATGAGTTGGTTCATCAACTCGCTCGCGAAATGCAAATCCGAGCGCCTGTGATCCCGTGGCCTAGCCCCCCGACCAGTGACGATGCCTTAATCTACAAACGCTCAATCAATTTCTATTACAAGGAGCTCCGTAACTCTCAACAGCGACTACCTCGACCCCACCCGAACCTCAATGTGGCACAAAGTCACGTCCTCCGAAAAATCCAAACGAACACCGTTCTTACTCCCGCTAGGCTTTTTCTTCTTCGACGTCGTTCTAATCCCTCATGCCCTAACTGCCCCTCCCCATACGCCAACCTGGAACATTGTCTCCTACAGTGCCCTATTGCACTATCCACACCGTTCTTCCCTAACCCCCCTCCCCTTTCCTGGAGTGCTTGGCTGGCGTCAGACGTACCGGATGACCAAATGGCTTTGGTGTTACAAGCCATGGATGTTTTGAACACTTAATTTGTGCTCAATATTAAAGTGCATTCTCTCTCTCTCTTTTGCAAAGTGCGAAAGGTGTAGCACAAATGTCCGTGCGCGTAAGTGAAGTTCAGAAAGCTGTTCTTATGCAGGACGACAAAAATATTTCTATGCCTGTCCCGCCGGCTCATACGGTGTCCGCGGAGAGCAAATATAGATTCGCGCTAAATTTTACATTCTGAGCTATCATTCAGCGAAACAGCGCAATAGACTGGAGCAGCGAAGGAAATTTATGAATCAATGGAGGTCGACTTATAGCTGTCTCTATTCTGATGATTAGAAGATTGAAAATACAAGGTTCATGCCAGATGCATGCCAGAAACAGAAATATTCTGTCTCTGTTTCTGTTTTGGTTCTAAGCGCCGCATGCGGAGATCTAGAGAATTGACTCGGCTCGCTTTTTCTGCTGGGCAGCCGAGCGTTTAGAAAGGCCGAAGCAGAGCGCGCGAAAAATCTCGGAGGCTATGGCTATAGATAGAGCCACTAAATAAGCTGCGCTTAGAGTATCGGCACTCCGTTCCCCGACATTGTTGTGGGCGCCGCCATTTTGGCTCGTATGCAGAAGAGACGCAACGGCCGATCGTCATGATTCAAAAGTGCGACTTCCTCAGCATTAGATTCGGTGTTAGGAAGGTCATGTAATACTGCTTTGCTCTGTCGCGAACGGTTTAAACGTTTGTGGAGGGCGGAAAAACATTCCTGTGATTTCAGATAAAGCTTCAGGTAACTGGCAACCATGATTTTAAGCCACAATATGGCCAAGTGTCGTTACTCTGAAGCGTAGCTTATTTAGTGGCACTAGCTATAGACAATTGCAAGCATGGCGCCACAAGTGGTGCCCCATGCATGCTAGCGCGTGCAACGCGCGGGTGAACGTAGCTTTGGCAAGCTCGTAATCGCACGGGCGTGCCTGCTCGAGCAGAGTCATGGCGGCGGCCAGAGAGGGCGGCCAGTCGCCCAGCTTGCAATCATCTATAGCCGTGCAAAAACTCGTGACGTTCCTGCACAAAGACGAAAAAATTCGAGCATCCGAGTATTTGCAGGCGAGAAAGAAAAAGTGGCAGCGGTAGGACGCGGGCGTCTCGCCACGAGGCCAACACTCCGGTCGTTGGAGCGTGCCACATTTCCAGCATTCGGTACGATTATCTGAAACCGGGGCTGCGTCAGCGGCGCACGAGGGCCTCCCAAGCGGCCGGGCGTACCGACGCGACGACCCTGGTTGGGCGGTGCTGACCCCGAGTTTGCTGCACCTCCGGAGCCATCACCCGCTTCTGAAAAAACCCGCCACCGCCGAGCCGAACTACGGAGAATGATCAAAGCCAAAGGGCAAATCGAAATCGGCGCTTCTAGTGACGACCGCGACGACTTCTCCGACGACTTGGAGGATATTGAAGACGAGGCGACCCGGAAGACCACTAGGAAGGTGATTCTGAGGTCTGGCGAAGCCACCAGACGAGGCCACAGCACGTCGCCGGCTTCCAGGCCAAGGTCTCGCGGTTCGTCAGCGTCGCCTTCCGTTCGCACGCGAAGAGTCGGCAGAGTCATGGAGCGCGAAATTCGGGTAAGCCCACCCTCTTTAGTGGTCTGTGTTGCTGACGTTCAGGTCTCGTTGTTGTTGATCGATTCCTCTTGTGACACCCTAACGTTGCAGTAACCAAAAAGTTCTTCTTTATTATTATGTTTTCATTAAACGGTCATGTTTTCCGCTTCAGAACCGCTTCAGAGTAGTGACATTTGGCCATACTGTGGCTTAAAATTATGGTTATTAGTTATCTGAAGCTTTATCTGAAATCACAGAAAACGCTTTTTCGTCCTCCACAAATGTTTAAACAGTTCGCGACAAAGCAAAGCAATATCACATGAGCCTCCTAACACCATATCTAATGCTGAGAAAGTCGCACTTTTGAGTCATGACGATCGGCAGTTGCGTCTGCCTGCACAAGCACCAAAATGGCGGCGCCCACAACAATGTAGGGGAATGGAGTGCCGATACTCCAAGCGCAGCTCATTTAGCGGCTCTAGTTCCCGCGAACCTCCTTTCCCCTGACTGAAACTGAAACTAAATATTAATAATACACCATTATTATAGCTCATTTAGTTATAATAAACTACACACGATGAGAGGAGGAAGCGGCCGGGTAAGAGAAACGCAGGTTTTATGTGTGACCGTTCTAACCGTCTCAGAAGAGTGTTTTTGGATCGTGTTTTTGAAACCAGCTTGCGCTGATTTCAAGAACACGATCCAAAGAAAAGAGGCGGCACGTTGTGTTCTTTGTGATTGTGCGTCTAATTTATATACAGGTATATTTGAAGATCGACGATGGACGTCGATCGTCTTGAGCAGCGGCGTAGACTTTCCATTTTCCCGGGGGGGGGGGGGGGGGGGGGGGTGCTGCGCGTTACCTTTTCCCCAGAACTGGAGATTGCAGCTAACGAAAGCAAGCTGGGATTCCATTTCCCATGTATTTTGCCACTAAAGGCAACGTGGGCGTTATTTTGTTTACATGCCACTACTAGAAGCTCGTTACATGGCACATAAACAGCGTCTCGGTAAGGATCATGGCCCAAGCCCGGGGGGGGGGGGGGGGGGGGGGGGGACGAGCCCTTATGCCCTCCCCCCCCGAAGTCTACGCCTTTGGTCTTGAGGTAATGTAGCGTAATAACATTATAAAAATAATAAACATAATGAAGGACTGAACGATTCAATTTTTCAAGTCATGGATTGTAATATGGCGGTAGCCTATTGTACTTACTGTTGATGACGAGCGATATAAGGTGACGAGGTAATGATTAAATGATGAGGCTCTATAAGGACGACGATATTAGTGGATATGAACCACAACATACAGTGCCAGACTTGCTTCAAGTATCGTGTACCCTAAGACTTTTCTTCATCCGCAACAGAATATGGTAGAATCAATGAGGATGCTGCTTCACAACTGTACGTGCAGCATGAAAACTGCACTGTGCGAAAGTGCGGCTTATTCATTATATGAAGGACAGATTTCTAGCAGCATCCCCTGATGGACTGCTTGGAACAAATGGCCTTGTTGAGGTAAAGCGTACTCGTCCCAAAAGATTCTTATAGCCTACCGAAACCGCAAAAGAGTATGAGGCGAAAAATACAAAAAGGAGCCTGGTGTGAAAGGTCCAAATCACCACTATAGCTTCTGCTACCGAATACAAGGGCACTTACACAATACACAAAGAGAGTTTTGTGATTTCGTTATATTTACACTCAATGGCATTGATATCCAACCCAACATATTCAGAGGGATGAAACCTCCTGGTCAAACAACATAGAGCAGTTTCTACTCAAGTTTTACATGAAAGGCCGGACTTCCGCTGAAATTGCTCACGTAGATCAGTTGTCCGATCGAATAAACTGCCGTTACTCCCGACCTGGGAATCTCTCCATTTTCGTTCGTAGGCTATAGTGTCAAGATCTCGAGGGGTGTAGCTCTTCGTCCGCCAAACAGTGCTTCGGCGGGAGTTTTTCTCGTGGAAGATGAGACCGTCGCGTGCTGCCGGAACAAGAACCTGGCGATTTATCTCTGAACTGCTTCTTCCGTAAGCTTCAAGAGGGCTTTCTTCGTTTCACACGCCATCTTTTGTGCTTGCCCGCTAGTTGCAGGATGGTATGGTGCACTAATGTGGTGCCTGATGCCGTTTTTATTTTTCTCAAAAACTTGCTTATTTTATTTGAAAGAAGATTCAGCGCGGCTATCGGAGAAAAGTATTTTCGGTAGGCCAAAAGTAGCGAAAAGAGAGCATGCCATAGAATGTCAATGACGCGTTTGGACTTCGTGGCATGCATTGTGTAGACTTCCAACCACTTAGAGTACGCATCGACCATGACTCCGCAGATGCGGATACGTTTCACCACCCACCGACTGAATAGTGGATCGCGTTTAGTTACTGTTCATGATGGCGCTGGACTCGAGGAAGACTTCGAGTCTCTCTGCAAAGTTAGCCCAGGTGGCAACAGTTTTGTTGAAAGCGGTAAGTGCTCGAAACGTCGACAACATCAGCAGCGACGTGCTGTGCTTGACGCTTACCATTCAGTGATAAGAAACTTGCTTGTTCGTCTGCCACGAGTCGTCCGATATCATGTCATCAGACTCATCACCGCAACTCCATCTCCCGACAAAACAGGTCTTCATTGTCCGCGTGTAAATATATATACGCCTCGCAAGTGGGCTCATTTTTGTCTTCTGCGCATGAGAAAGGAAGTAGAGGTGACGTCAAAACGCCGAGCCCTGATTGGCTGATCGCGACCCCCTATCTGAGCGTCGTCTGCTCCTTTGCAACGTCGTCTGCTCGCACCGTCGTCTGCGTCTGTCTCACCTTTCCTGCGACTTTCAGAAGTGCAGGTCTTTACGAGCGAGCTCGACTTGGCCTTTCAGAGAGGGCAGACGAAATAACTCGAGCGGTACGTTGTTTTTGTCTAACAACTAGCGGACGCGCATCAAGGAGGCAAGTCAAAGGACTCACTGGCGAGGTGTCCCGAGGCGCCGAGGTTTGTTTGCTAAGAACCGAGAGGGGGTGAGCGTGTTAGTGTACGGAAGTTCCCTCCCAATTACTTTTTCCCTCCTTTCGTGTGCGGCGAGACCCCTCATTCTTTAACGGCGTCGGCGGGTTGGCGTCGTCTGCTTTACGTCTGCTAGTCAAAGCGATGGCTGCTTTACCTTTCCTGCGTCTGTCGGAGATTCACCGCTTTTTCACCGGCGAGAGTCACCGTTGCCTCGGGAAACAAGGAGATAACAAGAGGAAGAAACTGACCTCTTAATCTAAAATTGAGGTCAGCGATCAAAGTATAATACGGGAAGGATTCACAAGGGTCGCGCGGGCATATTCCATTCAGCACGCCAGCCGGTCGTGGGCAGACTGTCGCCAAGTCGCGGAGTGCCTGCTAGGCCTAACTGCCGTGCTCGCTTGGTCGCGTTCGGTGGAATCGTGGCCGTTGGAGCTTTTCCCGAGTATTTGTGGATCCAGCGTTCTTGTTCGTAGTGGTCTGTTTCAAGTACTTTTTTACTTTTTTCTTGCTGCTTGAAGTCGGGACGCGTCAGAAGCGCACGTAAAAAAATAAACGTCCGTGGGTCGTCGCGACCGCGACGCTGTCGGCCATGCTGATTTGATCGTAAGAAGTGCGTAAGACAGCTTCGGAGCTTTCGTAGGATTTCGTCGTAACCTGCGCAGAACTTACGAAAATTTCGTTTCGTGAATACGAATTTGTTCTTAAGTTTTGTCTTACGCACATTTTTGGCGTAAGGTCGTTTCGTAAATCTGGCCTCTGCACTTTCGAAAGTCGCAGGAAATGTAAGACAGACGCAGACGACGTTGCAAAGGAGCAGACGACGCTCAGATAGGGGGTCGTGATCAGCCAATCAGGGCTCGGCGTTCTGACGTCACCGCTACCCCCTGCGCAAGAAGCAGACGAACTTGCCCTCCGCATAAATTCCCGAACGATCATTACTTGCCGTTGCTAAACGCCGCTCAATCATAGCGTCTTCATTGCGAATAAACGTTTTCCTATTTATACTGATGCTTTTCATCATATTCCTCCTAAGCTGTATTTACAACATTATGTCTGTCGGTATTCCCCAAAACATTGCAACGGCGTTTGTTTTCTGGGAACTATAATGTAACAACCTTTACAACATCTTTGGGTTCGGTGAATCACAATATTTCATGACGTCACCTTTCAGTCGTCATTATAATGGTGACGTAAATACTGTCAATCGCGAAGCAGTTTACTAGACGTCCGTTTCCACTGGTGTCTTGGAAGATAGAGTCTGCTGAGCGTGCATTCCTGCAGAAGAATTTTTCATTGACAAAATATTGATACGTCAATCAACAATTGAATTCTACTTGGTAAGATTTATTGCGAAAGCCTGTGGCAACTGCCGAACCGCATGTCCCTATATCAGCCTGACATTCTCGCATACATGAGTTTGCTGGGCCACGCTATTGAGCCAGCTGAGCACAGCTGGCAGCGGCGCGAGCAAGGCCACGATGGGAACGTGAGGGTGCTCGGGCCATCCCACCGTGAACCAATATTGCGGCCACCCCACAGGTGCATGTCGCCATCTATTGGTTAAACTAACGCCTCGTTCAAGATGGCTGCCGTGGGACCGCAGCCTTAAAGGGGCCCTGCAATCATATAAGCATCTACCTTTTCTGCGGTTTCCACGTCTCTTGGGGTTCGGGCAAGCCAGGAGGCACGGAAAGAGTAACTAAATATCAGTGCGTCATATTTTAACCGGACGACGCGGAAACCCCCTCCACCGACGAGGGCGACCTGCGGTACCGAAAGCGCGCAAAATGTGACGTCTTTGGTCCTGGGCTTACTACTGGTCAGAGACGCTAAAAGTTTCTTTTTAGTCGAAATACAAAACATAAGTGGTGCGAACCGTTTCAATTATTTATAAAAGTAGTTTTTGTTCAGTATTCTAGATCAGAAAAGAAACGAATGCAGTTCATAAAGTACGGAGACAAGAAATGACCTGTCGACATACCCGCCACCAAGCGGCGGAAAAGGCGGCACATACTAGAAAGGAGTAGTGGGATCAGGCGCCGACACGGAAAGGTCCCGGATGTACGTGGCGGCGCTGCCGTTAGTATGGGCAGGAGGATCCGACCGGCTCCGAGCGTTCCGAAGGCCTTCGGCGAGAAGTTTTGTCTTGCGGTTTGGCCGTTTCGAGGTATGGCAGCGCAAAGTGGCTCCCATTCTGAATGATCTTTACCCCGTGTTTGCTGTCGTTTGTGGCCAATGAAGTGTCATGCTGAATTAGTATTTAATCGCGCAGCAAATGCAATGAGAGCTTCTCTGGCTGCCCACTGCATACAGCCTACCCAGAACATGCTTTAGTGGCGCCCTCTCGCGCCGTTGACACGGAGTGCGGCAGTCGTGAGCGCTCGATAAGCTCACTACCCCTCCTCTAGTTCTCGGCCACTCTAAAGCAACCAAGGACGTCATGAGGGAGGTTATTTTTTGCTTGTTTTGGTAATTTTAATTTGCCTATAACTTTTAAAATAAAGAGAATTTCGAGAAAAGAAAAGTTTCACTAAGTTACTACGTTCAGTGCGCTCAGGTTCGATGCAAATTAAAAACCAGTAAAACGTCCTTGCAGGGCCCTTTTAAGTACAATATTTTATTTTTACAAGGACTACCATCATGCGGGCGTATAAGAAATGCACAGTAGTGTCATTTGTAATTTTAAGTAATAAGTAAGTAATAGGTAAGTAATAAATATGAAATTTGTAACGTAACGAATAAAGTAATCCGTTAGTTTCAGCGAAAGTAATTTGTAACGGTAATCCATTCCATTTGAGGCTAGGTAATTTATGATTGTAATCCATTACATTTTTCAAGTAACGGGCACAAGTCTGATATAGAAGATGTTTGCCCCAGCAGTAAAGGCCTATCCAAAGAGGACCCTTGAGAAATCGTCAGGTGACACAACTCCAACATAAGTCGTTCAGCAAACCGCTTCCTTGCCTTTTGTGTTTTTCGGGGGAAAGTGTTTTTGGTCAACGTTCGCTCGTGTTCTTCACGGGGTCCTTGAGGACGCTCATCGTGTGGGTCCGGACAGCCACTCACAGGCTCTATTGGCTCTCGGTCAATCGCTCAGTGCCTCCGCTGCTCTTCAAGTCCCGAAGAAAACGGGAACGGGAAGGGCTGTGTTTCAAATGCTACCCAAATAAATCCAAGTTACCCCGGGGGTCGTGTCACGTGATAACACAGATAGAACAACGCTGAACGCGGGTAGGTTTTCGAAAGGTTCAAAACCCTTACCCTGGAGTACGAGCGAGTAAATTTTGGAACACGGCCAAGGATGCGAGGGCCCGGCAGAACAGATGGACAGCATTGGCAAGTGGCGTGCGACGTCAACACTGACGAGCACCGAGGTCGGAGGAAGCGAGGAGGAAATTCGTGATGTTTGCTCGGTGGTGTTCAAAGAGAAATCGGACTGCAGCACTTGAACCGCTTCCACTTCCACGACTTCTGATGGAGTTGCGTCTCCTCGCGATTTCTGAAGTGTCCTGTTTCGGCAGCCCTTAACAAGGCGGGCGCTTTTCCCGCCACACAGGTGAACCTCTCGAACGAGAGCTTCCAGAGGGTCGAGGGCGTCGACGGGGTCTGGGACGCCACGGTACCTCCTTCGGGCAGTCGGAGGCGCCACTACCACGTCAAGCACAAGATCGGAGGCGTTCCCTTCAGCCAGGGACAGAGGTCGTCATCCAGGCCACGACAGCCGCTCATTGTGCGAGAGGTCACACAGGTCAGTGCCCTGGAGGATGACCCCGCGATGGGTCGTGTCCTTCGGGTCGTGGGGCCTGGAACGCGCCTCCGACTACAGTCACTCGCAGGATGAGAACGGCAGGGGGTATTTAAGTTTTACCACCAACAGGCCGAGCTCCCTAGATTTTACGACACTTCAGAGTCTCGTGAGCTTGGACAACACCTCCTAGACAGCTTTCTAGACTGCGCGTCACGTGATATAACGTCATGTCCCGGAGGCCCGCATGGGCGCTGATTGGATTCGAGTGCCGCGTCAGCCTTCGCGTGGGACTATGAGAGGAAACGAGTCCCACGCGAACGCTGACGCGGCACTCGCATCCAATCAGCGCACGTGCAGGCCTCCGGGACGTGACGTTATGTCACGTGACGCGCAGTCTTGAAAGCTGTCTAGGAGGTGTTGGCTCGGAGCGAGCAGGCGGAGGCACGGCACGGTGGAGCGGTGTCCGACCCATGATAGCAGAGTTCGGGAAGCACTGGCGTAACGGACGGGAGCTGCGAGCAGGCGGCGCTCCGTCAGGGTCACCTTCCCGGTCGCAGGTGGTGGATGACGATGGGCCCCAGGTGCCGGTGGGCTACACAGGCACGCGTATGGACTGGACCCTCAACCCGGACGGGACGCTGCAGGTGGTGGTGGGGCCGCCGCTCTCACAGTTGCAGGAGAAAGAGCTCAAGAAAATGCGCGAGAATCGCCAGAAAGCCTCGCAGGCCAAGCTGGAAACAGGCAGGCTCGAGGACACCAAGAAGTAGGTCTCGGAGGCCGTGGAGAGGCCCGAGCTTCCCTCAAGCCAAATTTGTCCTGCCCGAATAAAACGAAGCACACCAAGGTCTCGGTTGGCCGTGGACATCTTTACTCCTATAGTGCGAAAATATTGGCAGCCATTTTATAAACTGTAAACACTTTATGAATTATTTGCTTCTCAAAATACGGAAGTTTTATGTAGATGTCGGGAAACACTGTTCATAAGTCGAACTTCGTCGAACTTTGCTAGAGGGTCGAAAGTTCGCCGAACGAGTCTAACCTGCAAGTTCGACACGAGTCTGCGACATCCCCAGATAATATTGGCGACCACAATCGTCGCTGCGGGCGACCTTCCACGATTGGCAAAACGCTCACCATGACTAAAGTAATGGATACTGGGAAAGTAGCGCCGTTGTCTTCCCTGCCTGCTAACCGGACACAAAGAAATACTAACTTAGAGACGACCAAAACCTCGCACGACGATTGGCTAATCGTTTACCGTTGCCATTTCGGGCCATTGAAATCTTTAAAGCTTTGAGAGGATCGTACAACTGCAGTCTTTCTAAACCAGTCGCACCAAGATAGTCAAAGAGCATTATTGTACTGAAGGCGTTCCTCGCCAATATAAGCGTCTTGGGCACTTTGTATGCAATCAACTTATCAATCACGCCCATCTCAGCGCGTCTCTTACAGTGATATTGTTATTACGTATTTTAAGACGAGAAATTTATTTTTCAATACCTCCAAGCACCGACACCGCATGGGGTGGCGGTACGAAGATGTACGCTTGTTTCGCCGGACGTCTCTGCAAACCTATCCGCCCCCAGCGAATTTAGATCGGCTGACCAAGAGTAGAAAGATCAAGAATAAATTGCTCATTTTATGAACCCGCTCCTCGCCTAACACGTCTTTCTCATGCTGGACTAAACACGAACCCATCTTTCTTACGTCACGGCGCGGTGGTGGCGCGTCGGCCGCACTTCTGGTCTGGAGCTGTTGGCGGAAGTCCCCATGTGAGACGTGTATTCCCTGCGTTGTTTTGATAGGAACCTTTAGAAAAACTGCCTTCTCGTCAAAACGCCGCAACGGGCTGTACAGTAGAGTCGAGAAAGGTTTGAAGACCAGTTTATATTTGCTCGGTTCGTTCGAGAACGTGGATATGTGGGGTGGAAATTAAAAACCAGACACTGTCGGACCACGATTGCTTGGGCGGGAAGCCCTTTGGGTCGAATTCACAGATACTTGGGGTGACCCATTCCTCCCTGGTCTGAGTGCTACTGGCAGGCTGTCGAATGTGGTTTTCGTGATGGGAGTAACTTTGGGCATTCCCACAATGTATGTTATCAGGGTAGAGGCCGCAGAGTGTGCATGCGGGTGTGTGCGGTGCCCCGCTAATAGTGTCGGTGATGTTCTGTGAATAGTGTATTGGTTTGTGCGCGTCTAAAAATTGTGCACTCCTCTCTGCTAAATGCGCGTGACGGGCTTTTAAGGAGTCGGGCGTTGTCTCTAAGTTTTCTTTTGGTACGGATGTTCTGGATTGGTGTGACGTCTTTATGTGGTCGTATGGGTAGTAGGTTGTCGGCCAGGGAGTTGAAGGGCCCGATGGATCGCTTCCTCGGGCGACCTCGTCGGCTCTAATGTTCCTTTCAACTCATGGGTTCTCAGGGACCCATTCGATAGTGACTTTTACATGGGCGCGTTCTCTCGTGGTTTTTATAATGCGGTTATGATGTGCAGGGGTAGAGCATTGTCTGTGAAGTCTATGACGGCTCCTTGGCTATCCGTTCGGATGGTGATGGAATCTTTCCCTGCGTGTGAGGTAATAGCTTCGGCTACGGCTTGGATTCCCAGTGCGATGGTGTGACTGTTGGTGCTTTCGGTTCGGGGGCCTACTACCGCTCTGTTGCCGCTCTTTGTGTTGTAGTTGTAGCTTGCATCTGGTGTAATAATATGTGGTGGCGATGTCTCTGGAATCATTGTTCCGCTCAATACGTTTGTTATCTTGGTCTCTTCTACCTTGGTTGGTTTCTGAATTCATGTTCTTTGTAATGGGCCTAATTTCAATTCTTGGAATCCGGTCCCACGGAGGTGCTGGTTCTGAGATTGAAAGTAGTGTGGACTTGTCGTATCCCATGCTTAAAGCCCGACGAACATACCTGATATTCTGCAAGGCTTTCCTCCCCTCAAGTCATCGAGTGAGGGAAGCGAAGGATGGAAACAGGGGAGTGGACTAAAAAAGTCGGGCATGAGTCCGCGCGCGCCGTTCGGACCGTGGGGTGATTCATTCAGGGAGCGCGTGAATGGAGATAAGCCAGCAAAAGGGTTTTTACATGGATTCCACGTGACGTCATTCAAAGGGCGCTCCGATGGCCACCCAAGAAGAGGGGAAGAAGAGTTCTTCTCTTATCGGGACCCTCTTTTGTGCCTCCCGGATTTGCACAAACGTCACTATTCTCCTCCCAGAAGATTATAGAAGAATAGCCCGTCACTCAAAATTCTTACAAAAGCAGCTTCTCTCTCCTCCTCTTACGTGGTGGTCAAAAGTATGCGATGTGACGTCAGTGCAGCCCATATATATACACACGTCACAATCCATGTGCGGGGGGATTAATGAAGGAAACTTCCGGGACTAAAGTACAGGACCAAAAAACGAGAACCAAGTTTGTTCCTCGTACTTCGCGGTACGTCTTCGCTGGGTGTTCCTTTATCAGCGCAATTTTTAGTCAATATAAATTGGCGTCTTTTTTATATACAGGGTGCGGCCGTAAAAACTTTCACATTTGGCACGCCTAGCAAAAATCGAATTTCAAACGTACATACCTGAAATTGGGCACATGAACGTCGTTTATTCCAAAGTTTTTTGACTATTTTTTTCAGACGTCACCTCTGGAGTAGCGAATTTTTAGAAAGATAACAAAAATGGCGGACGTGCATTTCCTATGGCCTATACCCACCCGTTCGCCGCCCCACGCAATAGAAGTCCCAGAAAAAAATTTAAGAAAAACGAGCAGCGTTCACCCCCTCAACTCGCAGCCAGAACAAGCGGCCACGTGATCTGGAGCCGTTTATAGACGCTTTGCACACGCGCCAGATTACAGCCGCCATAGCTGACCTTCTCTTGACTTACCGATATGCCGATCTACTGAAGCAGGCGCTGACAAGCCTACACAAACGCCAATGCTACGGAGAAGGACACAGTGCAAACTAAAATGGCAATAACCTGTCTTGCTGTGGTAATCATGAAGTGAAGTAAAGGGAATAAGATGAAACAAAAACGGAAGGTCAGTTATGGCGGCGCCCATGCACAGCTGCTGCAAAGCGTCTATATGCCGCCAGTGTTGATCATAGCCACGCGCTGAGTTCCAGACATTGTTATGGCTCGGCTGTTGTCGTCGTTGCAGCGATTGGACACGGGTCACAACCCGAATGCTTCTCGAGCTAGCAATTGTCACGAGCCCAAGTCGAGTGCCCACGCAATGCTCGGGTCCAATCTATGAACCGCATTCAAATATCGTCACTTGGGTGTACTGCGATCCCCGAGTTACGTCATCAAAGTTTGCAAAGGAGAGATTGAATGAAAATAATCGCTTTTGTCCTTGAAATTACACCGCAACAAAGGAGTTTCTTGGCCAATGGCGTTGCGTGTGAGTATCCTAGAGTCCCAGGTGTGCCAGTAAGCTCGTGTAGAGAGAAAAACATTCCAGTCGAGGTGTTTGAAGTCGTGGTTTTTTAGCTGCTCTTTGCACAGTGATTCGTTCTTCGAGAATGTTGGAAAGTCCAATGTCTTGAAGCTTTTTAGGGGCGTGTATTGGGGTACGCTTAGCGCGAGATGGGTCTGCTATTCGCAACTTTCAGTTATGGTGGTACCGCGGTGTGAGAATCGCGCTCCCTGGCTCCTGGATGATCTGCTTCACCATACAAGTGCTTGCCTAGACCTTCCTGGCGTGAAAAAATAAACTAAGGCTCCAGTACTGCTTGCAGAAAGCAAAAATAGAATGACTTTCGCGTCGAAGACCCCGCTTCGTAGTGCTGTTCTACGACGATCATCCAGATGACAGCCATCTTGATAGGCGCCAGCGCGCCCCCTATAGGTCGTGAAAGTTGCGAATACTGAGAGAGTTTGGCCTTTTAAGGAGACTTTGACAGCCTGGCAACCACAGCAGCGTAGTCTGACAACCGGGCGATGACTACTTCCGTCTGACATTTTGCTGCTCTGACTCATAGGAACTCTATGCGATTTGTCAGGAGTAAACAAGACAAAAGAAGTAATGACATTTTGTGTTATCGCAAAATCTGCTGGTTCTAGAGGGCAACAAGCCCCGCCCATTGACCAAACTCTCTCAGTATAAACGGCTCTGACCCGGCCCTCAGCCGTGAGCAGGCTCTTCTATGGGGAGTGCTCAGGCGATGTCGCCACTCCAATTCACTGTAGGTGGCGCCACTCTTTTTCCAAAATGGCGGTTATAGCGAGGGTCGGAGGTGCGGGCCGCTGCTGAGCCTGTCTAGTGTGCTGGCTCCACTGAGCGATACACATTATTTCTGGTAATGCGAAGAAGCTAAGGTGTTATGAGCGCAGTTCACCTCTTTAACCTCAAAAAACAGTGTTTAGCGTAATACTTACGCCAGGAGGCACGTTTTAATTCTGGAGCAAAACCAAAACAACACTATTCTGGATTTTTTTTTTTTTTTTTTTTTTTTTTTTTTTTTTACGGTATAGGTTTGAAGTTCGGATTTTTTCAAAGCCGAAGATGTACGTCACATCGTAATTATTTAGTGAAAGAAGTTGTGCGCGAAAACTTTATTTTGTGACATACGCGTTCGATTCATGTACTTCAAAATATGTTGGAAAGTTCAGTGTTAAAGAAAGGGTCTTCCATACACATTAGCGGTAACATAGAATATTGTATCTGTTGAAAAAATCAGTGCTGATATTTGTGAGTTCTCGCTTCTTTTCTCGCTCAGCTAATTGTCTTGCGAAATAATGAACTGCGAGCCTTTTAATGGGTTT